AAATGCAGCCTTAAAGTATCGATGGTATATGCAGTTGGTGAACAAGGCGTCATTATATAAAACTGTGATTATTAGTTAATTGCATTAATCAATTAAAAATTACTAACTTCTACTTTTCCAAAAAAAAAGATTAATTTACTTTTTCCAAAAATGTTCAAAACGTTTACTTACTAATTAACAGGTTTTTATTACAAAACTACTGGAATTGAAGAAACAATAAGGGTGACTTCACTCCCAACTGTAAAATTTAGCATTCATATTATTATTATTTTTTTCAGATTTGAGTGGTTTTTATCCTCCGCTCTGCGTAATAGGAAGGGTGGAAGCCATTTCAATATTTGATCCTTCTCTACTTCATACCGATGTGGATGGTAAACAGCAATATATTTTTGACTTTCTAAGCGGAACTGATGACATAATAACAGCTTTAGCAGTTGACACACGCAGTAATTTGTTGTTTTACGCGGAAGACATGATAAAATCAATATATGTTGTAAGAATTGAAGGTGGTCAATATTCGAGAATAATCCACACATATACCAGCGGCCGGGTTGATGGTAATTATTGTGTTTAAATTCAGATTAACAATACAGTATGCAACGAAATAATGCAAAAATATGAAAAAAATATATATATAATAATTCGTACTCTGCCAGACAATATTATTCTTGTAAATTCTCATGTGTAGATTCAAGCCTGCATTGTTACAGAAGAACAGAAGAAGTATAGGCTACTGACGAACTAGAGGCAAACGTTTCCAATGCACAATTTTTTATGAATATATTATTGAATTTATCGTTAGCATAATTGTTGCTAGGTACATCAATAATTATAAGCTTACATTTCAAATTAGAAAGTTTTAATTGTTGCAGCAGGGACATATTGAAACTAATTTACTCGTCCTGAATTTTTCGCACAAGTTTATTCAGTTCAAATCAAGTCTTAAATTCATACGACTGTTTTACAATACCGCAATTGCATCGGATATTAATCACCCAGCACAATGAATACAGGGAACAGTTAAACAGAACAATTAATTTTAACTGTTGCCTATTCAGACCTAATGAAAAAATATTATTCCCCATCAAGCCATATTTTCGTATCCATAGTAATTATTTAATGCCATTTATTTAGTCAGGTATTTTCTTGCTTTATGCCACGGGGATGCATATCAAAAACTCTCTTTGAAAACATATTTCTAAATCAATTGTAATGTCGACACGCATGCTTTTAAAGGTCGTTGAATTTGTTCAACAAACGCCTAGTTAAAAGCCATCCATTTTTAACTGCTCTCGTAAATACTCGTTCAGCTAGGAGGCATAAGGTATGTAATTATTAAAATTGCCTTCTAGTAGTTTACAACTACTGTAGTTTTCCAGGCCTTTCGCTGCTAGTTTCCGACGGTTCTACACCACTATGTCCCCATTGCTTGTTTTATTCTGTAGATATTATATTAGTTATATAAAAACCACTCAAATACCATAACATTGAAGACAATGCATACATTTTTCCGAGGCTTTCGTACCTGCATTCCGGCCAAGTAACCCTTTGTGGTTCCCTTTCCCCTGGGCTAACTATGCTCTCATTAATCCTACATGACTCATACCGTGCCTGAGATAGGCATTACAAACTACTCCAAGATCTCTCTCCCCTCACTCTCTCTCTCTCTCTCTTTCTCTCCCTCACTCTCTCTCTTTCTCTCTCTCTTTTAGTTATACATACTTTATTATCAACCAAATAATATGAAAAATTTGGGTTTTTATAACCAGTATACATAACTTTGCACTTTTCCACATTGAATGGAAGCGCCCATAATATCAGCTACGAACCCAGTTTTGTTGGAGGAGACGAGCATCAGCTTGGGAATTATATATAAATATAAGTCAAAATAATGTGTTTATCATCTGATTTAATCTTGTTTTAGCTTCTATTTATGAATAGAGTGAAAAGCGTCGGTTCAGGAACTGACCTTTGTTAAATTCCATTCTTGGCTGTGCAGATAAAGAAACTTGGACACCACTGAACGCCTCTGATATATACCTGAATCACATTTCATGATCCATGTCAAAACAACACCACAAATAATGTCATTAATGTTTTAGCTTAAATAAGAAACGCTGATTGGGTGCACGTCCTAATAATAAAACAAAGATGGTGGTAATCAATCCAACTTACCCATTCCTCCCAGACATCTAAAACTGAGTAGCACAAGAATAACCCTAACGGTTCATCACACAAACAATTAATATTTTCTAAGTATTTAGGAACGTTATACCTAATTATCCTCTTCATTCTATTACACATAATAACATAATGTGAGTGAAATATGACTCTTTCCCCATTTAAACTAAAGAGGCTGGGCTAAACAGAAATGTTCATTGATTTAAAAAGGTACGTTGAATACAAAATAAAATATTGTGAACATTATTATAACATAAGCCGTCACGAAAGTCTTCAATTTCTTTAGACCAAATCCAATACAACTATCTAAATGTATATGAAATGTGTTAACAATTTTTACACTAGGTATGGCTGTTGACTGGATTTCGCTTAAAGTTTACTGGGTTGATTATCTTCAAAATCTTCTAATGGTTTCATCCTATGACGGAATGTCTAAATCAACAATGTTCTATGATATCGTTAGTCCAAGGGCTATAGCAGTAGACCCAAATGCAAGGTAATCTTATTGCAATAAAATAACCGTTATCTCCACTGCCACTCTTTTTTTTTTAAAATGAAAGTTACATAATACCTTCTTGTAATTCCACGTAAATTGTGCATTGTTTCAGTTACTTTATTTTCAAGGTCAAGTCGTAATAGTTCTTTTTTTAAAACGATTTTGGAAATATTTATCTCATCATCAGCAACAGGATCGTTTATTTTCTCGGTTTGTGTCTACTAGTATTATACCAAAGTCTTATCTTTCATTTTATCTGATGCTGTATTTGATATAAAATTCAAATATAAAGAGGCCTTTATGTAATAGGAAGCAATATCTCTTTACGTTATATAAATTATTCTGTAAAATATCTTTTACAAAAAATGTGCAATAGCTTTAGTTTCGGATATCAGAAGTAATGGTATCAACTGTTAATTGCTACGTTTGAAAATTGGCAGCAGAGAACTATATGCCCAGAAAATGGAGAGTAAATACAAAATATAATAGATGATAATTATAGAAAAAGATTAAGATTATAAAAAAAAAAAAAAAAAACAAAAACAAACAAAAAAAAACAGACTTACTGTGTTGGTGCTATTACTTTGTTTCATTTTTCTTATGTATTTTTTTTTAAATTATTTCAATTTATTGCATACAAAAGAACAAAAAGAATACGGGTACAATAGCATGCAATAGAAGCAAAGAAAAATAGCCAAAGCTAATCGAGCTTGAGCCACTTTAAAATTAAACATTAATACATATGATAAAATATAAATTAATAGTATAAAAAAATGTAAAAGGCATCATATTAATATTCATTAAAGAAAATGTCTTTAATTTTTGAAACAAAATTTGTTCTTGAGGTAGTCTCTTTCAACTCAAATGGCAAGGGATTCCAAAATTTAGCACCAGTATAAGAGATTCTGAATTAACCTAAATTGGTTCTGCAGTTGGGAACAGCTAAATTGTAATCACGGTACGGTTAAGTCTTGTTCCATGGGTGTGGTTAATGTTACTAAAGTAGTCTGTTAAAGTATGTGGCAATCTTTTGATTAAAAGGTCAGACATAACATTTAAAATAAATAAATTATGTAGTTTATATATGTATAGAATTCGAAGATTATAAAATAAAATAAAGGTGTAGAATGGGCTTTAAGATCTGAAAATGTAATACATCTTACACATATTTTTTTGAGTGCGTAAAAGTATTTGTAGGTGGGAATTGTATGTGTTGCCCCATACCTCAATACCATAAATCAGATTAGGTAATATAAAAGAATTATAAAGCATAATCAATGTTTCCTCGGGGACAAAGTGCCATAACTTTAATAAAATACCATTTTTTTTAAATTTTATTGTTTACGTAATGTATATGTTCCTTAAAATTAAGATGCTTATCAAGCTTAACTCCAACGAAAGAAACAAAATTACATTCAGAGATTAAACTTGAAGCAATTTTAAGAGAACCAGATGTAGTAAAACTTTTATTTTTTTGACTGAAAGAGTATGTAGTTTGTTGTATCTGCATTTATTGTTAATTTGTTGGCATTGCACCTTTTTATGACGTTTTTAAAATGATAAATAACCTCGTCAAGAGCTAAAGTATTACCAATAAATGGTTTAAATAGATTTATATCATTTGCAAATAATCTAAAATAAAAAAAAAAATCAGACGAATTTGGTAAATAATTTATATAAATTAAAAACAAAATTGGGCCAAGCACTAATCCCTGAGGAACACCACAGTCTATTGGTAGTTTATTAGAGACAAACCGTCAGAGGAAATAATCTGAAATCTATTACTAAGATAGTTTGAAAGCCATAACAAAGGTATGCCCCTAATCCCATAGTGTTGTAGCTTTGAAATAAAAATTTCGTGGTATACCCTTAATGTCAATATATACAAAGCAATAACATATACTGTTCAGAATTAACCCAGAAATAATACACTTTGTTTATCAAATTCTTTGAATAGATTGATATATTGGACTGAGCAGACATCACCGACAAAACTTGTGCGCTGTAATCTAGATGGTACAAATCGCCAGGATCTTATCAACACAAACCTGTTAAATCCATCAGGAATCGCTCTTGATCACGCTCAAAGAAGGTTGTATATCTTTGCAATTCTAAATACAACATATAAAAGTTTAAATAATCATGGTAGTCTTTCCGATTCATTAACCTCCAGTCAGGTACCCATTATACTCCTAGGTGAAGACACAAGCAGTGTGACGAACAAAGGTCTCAAACTCTCAACCCTCTAATTAAATATGTCTATTTTATCCATGCTGAAGACAGGTTCTGTTCACATTTGCTCCGTTACGGTATATGGCAACCGGCTATAGCTTCCGGCTGCCGGATCAAATCGGTCTGTGACCGATTTTTCCCCCATTTGATTGATTACCAGACGACTTTTTGACCAATCAAAAGCTACAGTTTCGACGTAAGGCGAGAGAGAGAGAGAGAGAGAGAGAGAGAGAGAGTGCAGCGACATCTATGGAGGCAAGATCAGGCCTAGATCTAGGTGATGATGTTATAAAAGAATTTCTAATGCAAATCCGGTTAAATATATGTTATATGAAAAAAGTTCTAAAGATTTTAGAGACGACAAATAGCGGGGCATCGTATTTTCCAAAATTGGGGCCAGGATTGACGTCACAGTTACGTGCCTAAAGTAGCCCCTAGGAACTTCGTACATGTCTAGGCCTAGGTCTAATTGACTCTTCTTCCTAGCTTAGGCTAGGCCTACTACCTAGCCTGAGTAGAGTTGAACAGTTACAGTTATCAAACAACTAAAACATGTATAGAAAACTTGAAATTGAACCTGAACTTGAACCTGAACAGATGTGAAAGGGCCTTTAGTCTCAACATTCGTAGTAGTCCAAGAGCCTCCTCGCCCGTGTTTCGGACTTTGTAAGAATCAAATCTTCTGAAATAAGTAATTATGACCGAAAGTCAATTGCAGACATCTTACACAATGTGTACTCCAATGTCGAGCACACACTGTAATGAGGCAACTCTATGCAGAGCATAATATGTACTTGGACGAGGTGTGCAATGTACCGTATTGTTTCTAATGTCCATCCCTCATACAGCTACTGAGAATTTCTAAGAGATTAGATTGAGATGCATTCGTTAGCCAGCTTAAAGACCAATAGCATCTTTTAGATGAATATAAGTTATCCGTTATTCTTCTCTGGTTCACTTACACACCGGATTTACACGTTCTTACGCAGCGCAATGACACTGGTGTTTTTTTCCCCCTTTAGGCTTCCCAGTCATAAACACTTTAAATATTGTTGAAACAAAATCATCTTGTTGTTAATAGTAGTAGGTTTGAAAGTTATATTTAATCAAGCAATAAAGGTGCTGAACGTTTCCAGATCTGTCAGGTCTCATTCTCAACTGGCGTTCCATTACTTAAATATTGTTTACCTATTTTAACTGCGTGCACTGTCCTTTATCAGAGAAGACTTAATTGGTTTTACCTTCCGAACGCTGGGGCAAGGAGCACCACCACTGCTTACCACCTTGCCACACAATAAGAAAAAAAGGCTCAGAGTGTGGAACAGTCTGATTACCTTTAAAAAAAAGTCCTACAATATCATATCAATTAAAATGAACAAAATACCAGCAAGCAAATTAAGAAAATTTAATTTTCCTGATAGGTTTAATGTTATTTTCTAGTTCATATTATTTAATGTGAGATAAAGAATAAGGCATTGAATTAAACTATGTAACATAGCCTAAACTATTTCTTCTGTGTTTTTTCATAAAGAGTTTATATCGTTGGTGAAGATAGTATGCTCATATATTATATTGACTATGATGGAATCGAGCAAGTTAATATTGTTGGCTCAAGTACTTATCCTGCCAAAGACATCACTGTGTTTCAGGTAGATGATTGAAACATTTTGGATCAATATTATCTCTTTTCTTGTATGTTTAACATCACAGTTAAGTATGCAGCTTCATCGTTGAACTCCAGAAAATGATAATAAAAAAAAATACCGCTGTAATAATTAGGAATAATTGCCTCTTTTTAGGACTTCATAATATTAGCTGGATCGTACGGGCAACAATCTGGAGTCATTGAAGCAATACACAAGGTCTCTGGCAGCCATGAAGGTCGTATAAATGTAAATACTACAGTATATGCCATAGACACCTTTGATGAGTCTACCCAACCTACAGCTACACGTATGTTGTCATAATATATATATTACATACACATAATTATAGCAAGTGCACAATTTACCGAAACAACAAAACTTCTAAGGAAACGTACACTGTGTCTAATATGAGATAGAAATGTATATGAAATGTACTTATGCAATTATGCAGTTGTATACGATTATGTTGTCGAAACAATGTCGGTCTTTCTTTAGCATAACGAATATTTATGTATATAATATATGTAGCAATAATATTTAGCATTACATTATATTATATATACTAATATTGTAAGAAGATGTACCGTATTTATTTGAATAAACAGCCGGGCGTTTATTGTTAAAAATGGTTTTTGAGGGGGAGTTTATGATTCGATCATCGTCCTATATTCGAGCACTGTGTTCACTAATTATTATGATTATTGTATTATATTGATGCATATAGCGTGTAACAAAAATAATCTTCCATATTATATGTGTACTATAATGATAGGCGATACTTTACTCATTTGGCTGATTATTATTGTTTTTATGAATTATTAAAAAAGTGTGTGTTTTGAAATAATTTGGTATTATTTCATTACCAGTGACTACAGCACCAACGATTACAACTACATCACCTTTGAGCTCAACAACGCAAACTAAAGGTAAGCGATATAAAGAGGAAAGGTACACATTTCAGTAAAAACTTCCAAGGATACCAAACGAAGTAACGTTTTTGGTTATAATTAAAACGAGAATTTACCAAAACTATATAATGATAAGTCATACTCGGTTTAGTAAGGTTTAGTATATTACTTATAGTTGAAGTAATGAATCTATTAAAGTTCACTTGTTCCACTATAAGCAAGACTTACAAGCTGTAACATATAACGATTTTATACACGTCCTGTATTGAATTCGAGCTAAAGCTGCTTGATCAAATTTAATCTAAACCCTTATTCTAAACCCAATAATTTACAACATTCAGCTACCAACAAAATATTACAGCTCTATGGATGCTGTATCGACTATCTCTTGTTTTGCAGATTCAGTGATTAAAAAACACCATGTAACAGAAACTTTCATGAACTAGAGATACAATACACGTTATAAGAGCCATACTAGGTCTAAAACTTTTAATGAAAATCATTTATATTCCTTATACTGTTCTTTACTGTTATACTTCCTTCTTCACTGGTTTTTTTTTATATCCTTCAGATATTTAAAGTTTTAGGAAGGTCATAAAAAACTTCCTATAGGTTATATCGTTGAAATTGTAGTGTTTTTATTTACATATTTGCTTACCTTTCTCATATTTAAGGTATGGTAACATCAGGCCATTACCATGATATACAAACAACGAACAAATACTAGTATGCTATTTTTCCCATCACAGTGACATTTGAAAATAAAGGTTGATTGGTCGGCATTATTTGAAATATCGGCCTAGGCCTAAGCCCAATTATTCTAATTATTTTGGTCGAACAAAATAATAAGCACAGGGATAAAATAAAATGATTAACTGAATATTCCTCCCTACACAGTGACTACAACTCCGAAAATTGTCATTACAACGTCGTCTCTGAGCACAAGGCAAACCACAGGTAAGTGAAATAAAGATGAATATGCTTCTGCTTCATCGAAGTACCGTAGAAACCAAGCCCAGTATCGTTTTTGTTATAATCACACGAGACTTTTCTGATAATTTTTCACTTTTTTAATATGCAGCAAGACCTTGTACATTGTTTCTAGTATTATTTTCAAATAAGAGATGTTTCCATGTAATTGCACTGTTCCTGATTTGAGGTGATTTTTATCTATTTGAGCATGATTTGTGTGTTGGGGGGGATGGCGTGACTGGGGAATGGGCGAGTATTTTTACTTGGGGGGGGGGGGGTGGAGCTTGCACGCCCCTCGCACATCCTAGATATGCAAATACCTAGCATACCCAGCAATTTACCCTACGGTCCTCCACTGACACCATGTTCTCTTGCAATGGTGAAAATGGGCACATAATATTGCCTATTTTAAACAAATTATAAAAGAGGCACAAGACTTTGGTTATTGCTACTGATCACAAAAAATCCGAATCACACATTTGACCCACAAAATGACCTCTCTGTGACATTAGGTCAAAGGGCAACCTTTTAATATGCAGGATATTTGCAGAAAAAATGCAAGTGTTTACTCTAAATATTTACATGTAAATATCGTATTTATTACCAATAATTATAATTGCACATAAAAAGACTCAGATGACCTGGCAGTGTGTGATTCGAATTCTTGTGGGTCATGTTTGTATTTGTACCCAATGCATTTATATGCTCAATATGTAACGGTTAAGAAGAAAATTTACTACAAAGATTCCAAATGGCGGCTATTTTAAAATTACGCAAATTAGGTAATTTAGTATTGTCCGATCAAGGAAGATTTTGCATATGCTAATTGTTACAGACAAAAGAACATATTTCAGCAATAAAACACATTTTTGCATTTTGTATCACTCAATGCCAATTTTACATCTATTTCCACCTGTCTAATAGAGGAATATCAATAGGTCCTCTTTTTACCAAGGTAGCAATATCATTAATTCCAAAAACGTCTCACAGAGATCACCGAAAAATAGATTTCAATCAACCAGGATACCACAAACCTGTGTACACTGGAAAGCCCGTACAAATGTACTTATGTATACACTGCAAAGAAAGATCAAGAAAAAGACAAGTTCAAAACAACGGCAGGTGTTAGACAAGGTGTGAATGAAGGACCATGTTTATTTAATCTGTACATTGATTATGCTCTTTGTGTCTTCCGAGATGTGACTAAACAGGTATAAAAAATCTGGAAATGTCATTCAACATTCCAAACAAAGCTACCAATAGGATCAGAGGGAATTTTTTGCATCGACTGGCACTTACAATCACTGTGAAGGGGTTATGCCGATGACATCGATATCCATAGTTGGCCACAGACAGATCTCCAAAATTCAATTATAATATTGCATCAAATTTGTACTGAATACGGGATGAAGGATAATGTAAAGAAGACTTTTGAGTTTAAATTGGAACGAAAACAACAGATGACATGTATCAAGATCACATAATCAAACTAAATGACGAGTAGATAGTGAATACGTATTATAATATGTACACATTGATGTAAAGGTAAGCCACACAAAGTTAGTGTGGCTAGAGCTGCTTTTAGTGAACACCGTAAACTACTCACAAATAAAAACATACTTTATCAACAAGAATCATTTTCTTAGATGGTCTGGTCAAGTCACGGCTAAGTTATGGTTACCATGCATGGCGTCTAACTAAACCAGAACTCCAACTAGTTAGTGCCACATACAAATTAACTTAAGGTGTATGGTAATATGCGGATTCAAAAGGAAGAATCCACCATCTAAGAAAAGCAAAAAAAGCAAAATAAAAATGAAAGAGATAACAGAGGGTAACAAGAATGATAAAGCATAAGAAGAAATAGAATGGGGATTTGTTACAAATAAGGAACGGCTATTTCAAATCACCAACACACCGCCGATAGAAGAATTCTACCAATTGCAACAGAGAAACTCTGTAGCATATGTTATCAGGCGTGGGAACAACAATCCCTTTAAGCAACTCATGTTTCACGCAATCAAAAATACAGAGCTTGGGGAAAAAAGTAAAATCAATCTTGAAAAAGTAGTTAATAAAAGCCTTGTCTCCAGATGTCAACTGATTAAATACTGTTTCAAGAACAAATTAAAGAAAAAACTATCAATCGGTATTATTATTAATAATAATAATAATAATAATTTTAATTATTATTTGTATAATTAATATATATATACAACTCCAACTAGTTAGTGCCACATACAAATTAACTTAAGGTGTATGGTAATATGCGGATTCAAAAGGAAGAATCCACCATCTAAGAAAAGCAAAAAAAGCAAAATAAAAATGAAAGAGATAACAGAGGGTAACAAGAATGATTCTTTAGAAGAAGAAATAGAATGGGGATTTGTTACAAATAAGGAACGGCTATTTCCAATCACCAACACACCGCCGATAGAAGAATTCTACCAATTGCAACAGAGAAACTTTGTAGCATATGTTATCAGGCGTGGGAACAACAATCCCTTTAAGCAACTCATGTTTCACTCAATCAAAAATACAAAGCTTGGGGAAAAAAGTAAAATTAATCTTGAAAAAGTAGTTAATAAAAGCCTTGTCTCCAGATGTTAACTGATTAAATACTGTTTCAAGAACGAAATGTAAGTTGGCTATTACAAAAATTATGATAAAATGTAAAGTATGATATACGAACAACGAACAAATACTGGTATGCTGTTTTTCCCATCACAGTGAAATTTGAAAATAAAGGTTGATTAGTCGGCATTATTTGAAATATCGGCCTAGGCCTAAGCCCAATTCTAATTATTTTGGTCGAACAAAATAATAACCACAGGGATAAAATCAAATGACTAACTGAATATTCCTCCCTCCACAGTGACTACAACTCCGAAAATTGTCATTACAACGTCGTATCTGAGCACAAGACAAACCACAGGTAAGTGAAATAAAGATGAATATGCTTCTGCTTCATCGAAGTACCGTAGAATCCAAGCCCAGTACCGTTTTTGTTATAATCACACGAGACTTTTCTGATAATGTTTCACTTTTTTTTAATATGCAGCAAGACCTTGTACATTGTTTCTAGTATTATTTTCAAATAAGAGAGGTTTCCATGTAATTGCACTGTTCCCTGATTTGAGGTGATTTTTATCTATTTGAGCATGATTTGTGTGTTGGGGGGATGGCGTGACTGGGGAATGGGCGAGTATTTTTACTTGGGGGGGGGGGGGTGGAGCTTGCACGCCCCTCGCACATCCTAGATATGCAAATACCTAGCATACCTAGCAATTTACCCTACGGTCCGCCACTGATACCATGTTCTCTTGCAATGGTGAAAATGGCACAGAATATTGCCTATTTTAAACAAATTATAAAAGAGGCACAAGACTTTGGTTACTGCTACTGATCACAAAAAATCCGAATCACACATTTGACCCGCAAAATGACCTCTCTGTGACATTAGGTCAAAGGGCAACCTCTTAATATGCAGGATATTTGCAGAAAAATGCAAGTGTTTACTCTAAATATTTACATGTAAATATCGTATTTATTACAAATAATTATAATTGCACATAAAAAGACTCAGATGACCTGGCAGTGTGTGATTCGAATTCTTTTGGGTCATGTTTGTATTTGTACCCAATGCATTTATATGCTCAATATGTAACGGTTAAGGAGAAAATTTACTACAAAGATTCCAAATGGCGGCTATTTTAAAATTACGCAAATTAGGTAATTTAGTATTGTCCGATCAAGGAAGATTTTGCATATGCTAATTGTTACAGACAAAAGAACATATTTCAGCAATAAAACAAATTTTTGCATTTTGTATCTATTTCTACCTGTCTAATAGAGGAATATCAATAGGTCATCGTTTTACCAAGGTAGCAATATCATTAATTCCAAAACGTCTCACAGAGATCACCGAAAAATAGATTTCAATCAACCAGGATACCACAAACCTGTGTACACTGGAAAGCCCGTACAAATGTACTTATGTATACAATGCAAAGAAAGATCAAGAAAAAGACAAGTTCAAAACAACGGCAGGTGTTAGACAAGGTGGGAATGAAGGACCATGTTTATTTAATCTGTACATTGATTATGCTCTTCGTGTCTTCCGAGATGTGACTAAACAGGTATAAAAAATCTGGAAATGTCATTCAACATTCCAAACAAAGCTACCAATAGGGATCAGAGGGATTTTTTTTGCATCGACTGGCACTTACAATCACTGTGAAGGGGTTATGCCGATGACATCGATATCCATAGTTGGCCACAGACAGATCTCCAAAATTCAATTATAATATTGCATCAATTTTTTACTGAATACGGGATGAAGGATAATGTAAAGAAGACTTTTGATTTTTAATTGGAACGAAAAAAACAGATGGCATGTATCAAGATCACATAATCAAACTAAATGACGAGTAGATAGTGAATACGTATTATAATATGTACAAATTGATGTAAAGGTAAGCCACACAAAGTTAGTGTGGCTAGAGCTGCTTTTAGTGAACACCGTAAACTACTCACAAATAAAAAAATACTTTATCAACAAGAATCATTTTCTTAGATGGTCTGGTCAAGTCACGGCTAAGTTATGGTTACCATGCATGGCGTCTAACTAAACCAGAACTCCAACTATTTAGTGCCACATACAAATTAACTTTTAAGGTGTATGGTAATAGGCGGATTCAAAAGGAAGAATCCACCATCTAAGAAAAGCAAAAAAAGCAAAATAAAAATGAAAGAGATAACAGAGGGTAACAAGAATGATAAAGCATAAGAAGAAATAGAATGGGGATTTGTTACAAATAAGGAACGGCTATTTCAAATCACCAACACACCGCCGATAGAAGAATTCTACCAATTGCAACAGAGAAACTCTGTAGCATATGTTATCAGGCGTGGGAACAACAATCCCTTTAAGCAACTCATGTTTCACGCAATCAAAAATACAGAGCTTGGGGAAAAAGTAAAATCAATCTTGAAAAAGTAGTTAATAAAAGCCTTGTCTCCAGATGTCAACTGATTAAATACTGTTTCAAGAACAAATTAAAGAAAAAACTATCAATCGGTATTATTATTATTAATAATAATAATAATAATAATAATTTTAATTATTATTTGTATCATTAATATATATATACATATAAATATATATTATTAATAATAATATAATATAATATATATATATATATTAATATATGTATATTATTATATATATATATATATATATATAAAAACATATATTGCCTTGGTTTGGCTCTGTAATCATTAGTGGTAGTGGGACTGGTTTGGGCCCTTCCTAAGCTGGTCAAACGTTTCTTTTGGGTCTATACCCCAGCTGCACTGATGAGTCCTGGAAGGCCGAATCGGATCCGTCTGCAGATATTGGGATTCCTTCCAGTGGATACTTAGTTGTTTATTTTGTCATTCTGATCGGATTTTCTCTACTGTTCCGTTTTAATTATATATATATATATATATATATATATATATATATATATATATA